AAATTTGTGAAAGTACACTCTAAGTATACTAACTATTAAGTGTACTACCTATAAGTATATCTGAAGTACTAAAAGTATGCTTGTACCAATTTCGAAATTATAACTTTAAACGCACTTAAACGTAATTGTACCAAAATACACTTTTAATATATTAAATAAAGTATACTTTAAGTGAACAAAATATATATTTGCCCAAGTGTAAATATACACTTTCTCAAGTGTATTTAAAATATATTTTGTGTATATTTAAAAATATATGCTCAAAATAGAATTTTTTTTAAAATTCACTTAACACTACTTTAGATTATTAATTTCAGTATGTTTTAAATTACATATCAGTAAAGTATGCCTTAATTTTCTTTATTTAACCAGGTGAACCCCATTGAGATCCAGATCTTATTTTCAAGAGGGACCTGGGCAGAAGTCTGCAATACGCAGCAACCTGATTACAAAATAAAACTAATTAATACATATGCAGAAGTATGTCTTTTAGGCACCTTTAAAGTGTGTTTAATGTAATATCTAGGCATACTTTTTAAGTACCTAAAAAGTATGAATTTTTAAGGGCCTTAATAATATTTTACTATTTACTAAAATTGCATACAATAAAAAAATGATAATCATGATGTAATGTCTAAGAAAGTACCCAATCCATTTTCAGATGTTTGATGTAAAACCTTATAATCAAAGGCATTAGCTCCAGTTCACACTCCAGACCAGATGGTGGCGGTATTGCCACTTTCATTTATTTAAAAAACGCCACAGAGAGAAGAAAAAACTTGAACGCAGGGAAGATAACAGACGCTGTCCAAATTCGCCATTTTTGCTCGCATAATATTGCCTTAAAAGTAGAGAGGGCCTTGATAATAGTTACTAATTTTGGTAAATTCAAGCTGGTGACGTCCTAATCCGAGTTGGACGGAAACACAAGGGGACAACAACCGATGGAAATGAAATGTTGGTCACAACAGGAGCCGAAGGGACGAAGGATGCTAAGTGTTGCTAGCTGGTGGTAAGTTTGCTTATTAATTATCTTCATCTAAATATAAACAGTGCAATAAAGATATATAACTTACGTTGGTTTCATAAATAATTATTTTATCAATGTTATTGTGACTTGTATGATTATTACTATAGCAATCATTCAGCTTCATGTTACAACAGCATGGAGGCTCTGTTTGTTGCGACTTATACTTTTATTCATAAATTTAACCTGGTTTTAATTAAGCTCCTTAAGACAGAGAGACTTTGATATTGTGAGGTTGTTGTTCTAACTCGTTCATCAATGATTTTATCTTCAACATATGTTTGCAATCTAACTAAGCAAATGAAGATGAAAGAGGAAGCCAGAGAAATCGGGTGCTAGAAAACCTAAAGACTTTCTGTCTCAGAAGAGGCTCTGGCTCCACCAGATCACCAACCAGCTCTGAGGATGAACCTCCACATCGTCTTCATGGTGGAAGTTTGTTTTTTCAATGAGGAGCTGGCTACAGTTTCAACAACAATAACTGCTGTGTTACCAACACCAAGGGCTTAATAAACATGATTTGATTTGAAGGTAACTGGACAGAATTTTTCCCCTTGTTAATCTAACATTTATCTTTCATACATTTTATTCATTGTAAGCTTTCAGGGCCCTGTGATGGACTGGTGACCTGTCTAGGGTGAACCTCTGCCTCTCATCTGATGACTGCTGGAGATGGGCACCACCAGCCCCCCTCACCACCCTGCAAGGATCATCGTGTTCAGATCATGGATGGAAAGATTTTAAGGTAGTTTGTCTCCTTAAGTCCACACTTAAAACAGCTTCATAGTTAATGCCAGCATCAGCTGATTCTATGACATTGCTGACTGTTTTTTTCTACTTCTAACATAAACAGGCAAAGAAGAAACCCAGAAATGTTTTTCCACCCCAGGCATCCGGTCCCAATCGTCATCAGTTCTGATGATGTCACATACATGGCGAGTCCACAACGTCTTAAAATTGTAAGTATTATTTTTTATTTGCCGTTTTTCTGTTCTCTTTAAAATACAAATGCTTTCTCTGTTTAATTGCTCTATTGTTCTTTTTTGCAGGTTTCTGTAAAGTGCAGTGAATCGGAATGTTCTGTTGTTGATCCTCACTGTCATGTTTTATTGTCACACTTAAATTTTCATGTTCATTATGTTCACTTTAGATGTGTAAACTGATCATTTATGTAAAGTTCATGAAGTTGTGAGTAAAATTGGACAATTTTAAAATGTCGGTAATAAAACAAAGTATTTGAATTACATCATTGTGTAATTAATCTTTCCATGTAATTGTAGCCTAAATCAATGTAAGTACTGCAGTGTAGTTATGCATGTAATGTACAAAGTATGAATAAAGACTTATCAAAATTGTACTTTATTAGCAATAGCAGTAAATCAAAAATAAAAATTAAGTGTAATTTAAATACATTTCTTGTATATTAGTAGTATATTTAAAATATATTAAAAGTATATTTTTAATATAATTCTATGACAGAATTAGTACACTCAATACAAAAATGAAGCTGTTGAATGTTACATTTAAAAGTATACTTTAAGTATACCAAGTACAACTTGAAGTTGTTCCAAAAAAGTATGGTGAAGTATACTAAGTATACTAAAAGTTGTAATTTTATACAACTTAAGTACTACTAAAGTATACTAAGTACAAAATTAGTTGTTCCAAAATAGTACAGTTTAAGTACATCAATCAAAGTATGTTAAAATTTAGTATACTAAAGAATACTTTATTTTACTTGGGCAGCTGAGTTGAACCATGGAGAGAACTAAAACCTGCAGGATCCCAGGCTGGTTCTGAGAACCAGGATCATCAGCTAATTGTCAATCTTCATAGGAACCGACCCGACAGAACCAGAACCCCAGCGATGTCTGTTTTTTTTAGGAACTGGCCTCAGCCTCACTTCTGCCAACCAATCACATCCAACAACTCCTCAGTTCTGGTTCTGATGAAGGTTCTGGTTCTGTTCCAGGATGCGGCTGCTGGACCTTGCAGCGTCCAGATCAAATCAGAACCAGGCGATGACGTGGAGATCCAGTACTTCCCTCTCCTGAAGAAGCTGAGCGTCAAGCTGACTGACTGCAGGGCGTGGCTGGAGGGGCGGGACTTCCTGTCTCTGGGTGAGGCTTCTATTCTGACTTTCTGTTCTGTGGAGTCGGTTTATGGGCTGATGTAGCTGCAGGGTTCCTCAGAACCGGCTCAGGTACGTAACCTCTGACCTCTGCTCCTCCTCAGATGACCACCCTGAGCTGCGGCCGTGGGGCGCCACCAACAGCGGCAGGAGGATGACGTACTGCCCCATGTGCCAGCGGGGCTTCTACAAGCCGGCCCACCTGGAGGCCCACCTGTGGACCCACCGGGGCCAGAACCCCAACCAGTGCTGGGAGTGCGGGAAGACCTACCCGACCCTGATGAGCCTGGTGCTGCACCAGCAGGTCCACGGCCGCAGCGAGCCCTACCGCTGCTCCTACTGCGACCGCACCTTCGCCCTGAAGCGGGACTGGAAGACTCACCACCGGACCCACTCTGGGACCAAGCCCTTCAAGTGCTGGTTCTGTGGGGACGGCTTTGGCCAGCAGAACCAGCTGGACGAGCACCTGGAGGCCCACCAGGGGGAGCGGTCCTACCACTGCGACGTCTGCGACAAGATGTTTGTCTCGTACCAGGGCTTCAACTTCCACCGCCGAGCGCACAAGACCTCCAAGCGCCTGCCGTGCCTCAAGTGCTCCAAGACTTTCAGCAACCCTCAGAGTCTGAAGGTCCACCAGGCCACGCACTCCAGCAGGAAGCCGCACACCTGCCCCACCTGCGGGAAAGGCTTCAAGCTGCTGGGTGGCCTGCGCAGCCACCAGCGCGTCCACCAGGACCTGAGGGAGTACCGCTGCTCCGAATGCAGCAAGTGCTTCTCCAGCCTGCAGGGCCTGAAGCTGCATGACCGCACACACACGGGCCTCAAGCCCTACGGCTGTGCCGAGTGCGGCAAGAGGTTCACACAGGCGCCGCACCTCAAGGCCCACATGGTCACCCACACAGGCGAGCGGCCCTTCCTCTGCACCACCTGCGGCAAGAGGTTCACCCAGTCGTCCCACCTCAACTCTCACATCAAGCTGTTCCACCTGGGCGAGAAGCCGTTCAGCTGCGCCGACTGCGGTAAGCGCTTCACCATCGCTCACTACCTGAAGATGCACCGTCTCAGCCACACCAAGGAGAAGCTCTACCAGTGCTCCTACTGCGACAAGGCCTTCTCCTACCACAACTCCTGGAGGGCCCACGAGAGGATCCACACCGGCGAGCGCCCCTTCGGCTGCCGCGACTGCGGCCGGACCTTCATCACATCCGGCTCACTGCTGACCCACCAGCGTGCCGCGCACACCGGCGAGAAGAACCACTACTGTATAACCTGCGGCGAGTTCTTCTTCACCAGCTCCCTGCTGCGCGTGCACCAGCTGGACCACACCGGCGAGCGCCCGCATGTCTGCAGCTGCGGCAAGACCTTTAAGACCAAAGGAGTCCTGAGGTTCCACCTGAAGAGGTTCACGGACCACCGGCCGGTCCAGTGAGCTGGTTCTGGGCTGAGAGCACAGCCGGTTCTGTTGAGCAGAACGCCAGGAAGGTCAGCACACTGTAGCAGTCCTCAGCTGGACCAACTTGACTAACTGGACTGAACCAGGCAGAATTAAGAGTCGGAGTGATTCCTCTTCAGCTCTGAGATGATCTTTATTCCTGGTTCTGCAGATGTAAAAGGACCGGGTCAGAACCAGGAATCCGGCCGTTGGGCCAGTATTTGCTGCTAACATAGTCTCTGATTAAAAAATCTTGAATGTTTGGACCCGGTTCTGTTCTGGGTCCATTACGTCTCTCTGGTTCTGTCTTCCACAGAGACGCCCCCACCCATAGCTGGAAGGTCAGAGGTCACATGTCTGATCAGCTGAGCCTGATGTGGTTTATTTTGGACCTCTGGTTCAGACCAGTAGCACCATGTTTGGTTCCGAACCTGCAGGTTGAACCCGCTCCATGCCTGACCTTCACTGCTGACTTGGACAGAACCGGGTCAGTCAAAGTTGCTTCTTCATGCTGAAAGCATTCAAAACCAGGATTGGTTTTGCCTGGTTCTGACCCGGTTAATAATTCTAATCCCTGAACAGTTCAGAATCAAAATAAAACTGCTTTACCCTCCTGGCTCTGGTTCTCTTCTTCTTGAGTTTTAAGGCGGGTGACATCCGAATTATCGCCACCTACTGTGCTGGAGTGAGGGCCACAGGATTCTTCTCTTCTACTTAAACTAAAATCTTATATAATCCTATTTCCTTTAGAAATTTAATAAATGTACAGTGGACTTCACCATATGTCCCCACAGTAAATATGTGGCTCACACAGATATCTGTCATCCTTCCTCTGAAAAAACTGACTCATGATCTCAGTCACAAATCGGACACATTTTTGAGGCTTTGGGTCCTCTGGAGTCTTTTCTGCTTGATCCCTAGGATTTTAGTATTTTCTTATTTTGTTTTACAGCTCTATTTATCCCTGCCTGTTTTTTTGTTTTGTTTTTTTCCTCTTCTCTCTTGATGGCCATGAGGTGACTGGACTGGAGGAGACCGACGCCTTGTTTCTTGTTCATGTGGGGTATTTTGTTGTTTTTTTTGTTTCTTTTGTGTGTGTATGTGTGAGGCGGCACAAGTTTCTCTTTTGTTCTTTGTGTTGTAACTAATCTAAAATTAATAAAATAAGAAATGTAATAAATACTTTATTAATCTTGTGTGTATTCACTCTTAGTGCCTCCACACCATGTTTCCTTGATTGTTTTATTTTTTCTCCACTCACCCTGAATTCTTCGCACCACACTCACATTTCCCTTTTGGATGTTTACCTTTGGTTCTGATGGGTTCTACTTTCAGAAATGTTACCAAAATGAACTAAAACCAGTTCGGAAGAAGAAAACACCAATTATTTTTTATTATATTTCCTGAAAATCAGCGGAAATGTACATTTCCAGGCTTTTATTTTGAAGGTGCGGCATTTCACTTCATGACTTCCGTTCATTATGTAAATAGTAAAGATGGCGGCCTCTTGTGTGCTCCGAGCCGTCCTCAGCCGAACTCTGAGCCGGTCCAGATGTTCTGGAGGGGTCAGGTCAGTACCGACCAACATCAGCAGCTTCTCCTCATGGCGGTTTCTGATTGGCTCTAGCATTTATTAATATTGATGACGTATCAATACCTCATCCACCACAGGGAACCTGGGCTCACCTGGACCATCTGCATTAACAGCTTACCGCCCCTACAGGTGGCCTTTGACCTCTGCTCGGGTTGTTCCTGAGGCGGGACGCCGCGCAGCATGCTGGGAAGCTCAAAGCAGACGTCAAGACGGCACAAAATACCACCGAAGAAGAGGAGGAGGTCTGTGGGCGGCAGTCGGTATGTTCAGTCATTCACCTGTCAGAAACCTGGGGATGAGACAGACAGGTGGGATTCACCTCTGACCTGTCTCTCTCTGCTGACCTCTGACCTGTCTCTCTCTGCTGACCTCTGACCTGTCTCTCTCTGCTGACCTCTGACCTGTCTCTCTCTGCTGACCTGCAGCGTTCTCCCTGTTCAGCTCCACTGATGAAGATCAAAGGGACGAAGCTCAGAGGAAGGAGGACGACATCATTCTGCTGCTGAAGAAAGCCAAGGTACCAGAACCTGGACTGGACCGGAACCAGAACCGAGACAGACAGCTACAAGTTCTGTGTTCCCATGTCAGCTGAGACCAGCTGGGTGACCCAGAAACCAGGTCTGGACTTGAGAGCCGGATGTTCAGAACCGAGCCCGACCTTTACTCATCCAGAACCAGAGGCCCGTCGGGTCTGCAGGACGGACCTCTGCGGCCGGCTTCAGTCAGAGGGAACCAAGAAGTCTCCCACCGACTCGGGTCATCTGGACCAGAGAGACGAGTTCTGCAGGTCCAGTTGGTCAGAGTAACCGTCCGCTTTCTGTTGCAGCTCAGCATGCATCGCGGAAATCTGCAGGCGGCTTCGTCCTTCTTCCATCAGGCGGTCGCTCTCGCTCAGCAGACCCACAACAAGCAGGCCATCATCTACACCTACAGCCAGGTGAGCCTCCGTCCTCTCTGTCCTCTGTCTGTCCTCTGTCTGTCCTCTGTCTGTCCTCTGTGTCATTGCTGACTGAATGATCAGTGGCGTCCTCCTCAGATGGCGAACCTGGCCTACATTCAGGGTCACCTGGACAGCGTGAGTACGGTCCAGTCCAATCCAGGCTGGTTCTGGTCAGCTGGTTCTCCTCATCTTCATCTCTGCTCTTCTTCCTCTCAGGCAGAGAAGCTCTTCAAAGCAGCCATGAGCTACATGCTGGCTGGAGGAACTCCAGAGGTGAGACCCCTCACCTGCCCAGGTGTTCTGCTTCGGTTCTACCTGTCAGATGATCCATTTGGCTGAAAACTCCACCTCACTTCCTGTCTGTTTCCAGGACGACAACGCTGTCATTGAGATGTCTCTGAAGCTGGCCACCATTTACGCTGAGCAGAACAAGTAAGGGGCGGGACCACCTGAAGAACCAGTTCACTTCATGTCCAGTTCACCTGAAGAACCAGTTCACTTCATGTTCAGTTCACTTGAAGAACCAGTTCACTTCATGTCCAGTTCACCTGAAGAACCAGTTCACTTCATGTCCAGTTCACCTGAAGAACCAGTTCACTTCATGTCCAGTTCAGGTCACTAACTTCTCTCTTCTGTTGTGCAGGGCGGAACTGGCCGAACACGGTTTCAGTTTCTGTGTGGAATCACTGGAGGGCAAACTGGAGAAGCAGACAGAGGACGTGAAGACAGGTGAGGTAGAGGGGACAGGCGGGATAGAGGGGACAGGTGAGACGTTTCAGCGACTTGTGTGTTTCTGTGTCCAGAGCAGCAGGAAGCTCTAAGGAAAGACACTCACCTTCTGCTGGGTTTGTGTTTGGACTCGCGAGCGCGGTACCGAGTCTCAAGGATGGACTTGGACATGGCTGGACAGGACTACAGGAAAGCCCTGGACATCTGCCGCCAGGAACAGGGACAGGATCACCCACAGGTAGACACACCTGGAGACACACCTGGAGACACGACTAGAGACACCTAGTCTGAACTCTTCCATGTCCCCATCAGACTCTGGTCCTGATGAGCGACTTGGCCACCATCTTGGACCTGCAGGGTCGTCATGACGACGCATTGGTTCTGATCCAGCAGGCAGTGGACCTGAGCGTCTCTGTGGAAAACCCGGATCACCATGTTCTGGTGGAGAACCTGGCGGGGATCCTGCTGCACACAGGTGAGTTCACCTGGACGGACCGGACTGTTCTGGGTCTGACATCTGGTTCTGTCCGCAGGCCGGTTGGACGACTCGGCCCGGTTCTACCAGGAGGCTCTGGACCGGGCCCGGCAGGCGGGAGACCGGGCCGCGCTGGAGCGGATCCAGGATGGGCTGGAGGAGCTGAGGAAGAGGAGGAGCCAGGCGATGAAGGACGAGCAGGACTGACCCGGTTCTGATGACCCGCTCTGGGCCCAACTTGTGTCCCGTTGTTGTTTTCCATCATCTCTCCAGAACCTCCAGAACTTCTGACCCGTTACATGGTTCTGTTACTGAGCAGATGCAGCTCTGTGTTTTTAGTGTGTGTGTGTGTGTGTGTGTGTGTGTGTGTGTGTGTGTGTGTGTGTGTGCAGGTTCCCACAAGTGAGTCGTCCTGCTGTGTTTACTGAGTGCGTCTCCGTGACGACAGTGAGCAGGAGGGGGCGGGGCTAAGAACAGCTGTGTGTTGTGACAACATGAGTTTAAATAAATGATGTTTGGTGTTTTAGTCGTGATTCACCGATAATCTGACATGATGATGATGATGATGATGATGATGAGGCCCCTCCTCCTGGTTCTGATCCGACCGTAGATCTTTGTTTCAGGAAGTTCCTCCTGCAGTGAATCTATTTCCTGTTAACAAAATTAAAATAGTTTAGAAATAGAAACAAGAAGAAACGCCACGCCGGTTCTGACCCGGTCCAGGACGCCACGCCGGTTCTGACCCGGTCCAGGACGCCACGCCGGTTCTGACCCGGTCCAGGACTCCAAAGCCGCATGAACCTGTTGACACTGTTAGCCATGCTAGCTTTAGCATCAGCTGGATGGTTCTGAAGAACCCACCAGAACCGGATCTTTCATGGACTGGAGGAAGAGCAGCTTCTTTGATCAGAGGAACACCGAGCCATTGTCAGAACCGGACCGATCCAGGAAGGTGTGGAGTTCTGGACTGGTGGAACCAGCTCGGTTCTGTTGGATCCAGAACCCAACAGAACCGGGAAAACCCAAGGAGAACGGTGGTGGAGGTATCATACCTTGGGCCCATTCCTCCACAGTAGAGATCAGAACCCACCAGAACCTCGGTTCCAGACCAAGTGGACCGGCTTTCTGGAGCGACCGACCCAATCTGGACCTCCAGAACCTTCTTGAGCGAAACTGGCACGGAGGAGAACCTGGACCTGGTCCAATCGGACCTGGTTCTGAAAGTTCAGAACCTGCTGACGTCTTTCTGTTCATCATGCTGGAGAAATTCATCAGCCTGGTTCTGGCCCGGCCCGGCCCAGTCTGTGCAGTTCTGTGGGAACCGGCGCCTCCAGTGGGTCTCATGTGTTTCCAGGTAAACATGTTTGGGTTCAGCTCAGATAATTACCGGGTTCTGGTTCCGCCCACGCAGACGGGTCGCTTTAAGAACCGCTGCAGCCCGGCTGGTTCTGATCCGGCAGCACCGAAACGGACCAGCACACCCAGCAGGTACACACACACACACACACAGACCCATCAGGAGGTTCTGGTTCTGATGGTTCCTGCATGGAGGTGATGATGATGATGATGAAGCTCAGCCCGAGGGACCTTCATCATCATCATCAGGTCGTTGACCTGTGCTGCTCCTCCTCAGGTTTGACCTCTGACCTCAGACCCCGCATGGAGCGGAACCAGAACCCGGCGGCTCCTCTTCCTCACTGCCTCCACGATGATGAAGAGCAGCCGGTTCTGGACCAGCAGAACTCTCCAGGTGAGTGCCATGAAACGGGTCGGGGTTCTGATCCGGTTCTGGTTCAGAACCACTAGACCTGCTGCAGAGGTTCCTGAGGTCCAAAAGGTTCTGGAGGAGGTCTAAGTCTCTCCTGCTCCGGTGGTTCCGTCATGTTCTGATGGGTTCTCATGTCTCCATGAACTGGTTCGGGTCAGAACCGGGTCCGAACCCGATCCGCTGGTAACCGGGTGCTGGCTCTCCGCTGCTCTGAAGGTTGTGGTTCTGATGGCGGTCCAACATGCGGGTTGTTCTGACCTGAACAGGACTGACAGCTGCTGATGGTCAGAACCGCTGACCCAGACCCACAGAACCGGGTTCTGGCTTCTGGGAGGTTGATCTAAAAACATGCTAAGATAATAAAAAAAGTGAATCAAGACAAAGACAAGAACAGTAGAATCTGAAACAGAACCGGATCAGAACCTTCAAGTCGAGCAGTTCTCCTGACAGAACCGGGTCAGAACCAGGTCAGCTGACTGTGCTGGCAATTGATTGGATGGATGAATGAACGCATCATGAAGAGATCTGGTTACCCGGTTCCCATGGTAACCTGAGCCTCACCTGAGCTCCTGCTGTCGGCTGCGGAGATTAAAGGTCCATCAGGAGGTAACCAGCAGAATAGAACCGGAACCAGAACCTGGTCGGACCAGCTAAAGGACTGATGGAGAAAAAGATCCAGCCAGAAGATCAGATTAGATCCTAAAGCTGCAGATAATCTGGAGATGATAGAAACAGATGATCAGGGATTAAGCAGGTAAAACCAGACAGATCCAGATCTGGTTCTGAAGAGGGAAAACTAAAACAAACTAATTAAACTAAAACAAACTAAACTAGTTAAACTAAAACAAACTAAACTAGTTAAACTAAAACAAACTAATTAAACTAAAACAAACTAAACAAACTAAACTAAACTAAAACAAACTAAACTAATTAAACTAAAACAAACTAATTAAACTAAAACAAACTAAACAAACTAAACTAATTAAACTAAAACAAACTAAACAAACTAAACTAAAACTAACTAAACTAGTTAAACTAAAACAAACTAATTAAACTAATTAAACTAAACAAACTAAAACAAACTACAACATTGCAGATTAAAGCAGTGGTAGATGAAATCCAAAGAAATGACGTCTGGAGCCGATTCCGTCTCGTTTCTCTTTCTCTGTGCAGCACCAAGAACCTGCAGCAGAAAATGCTGCAGCAGGGAGTTAAATCAGCTGCAGCCCAGTTTTATAAACCAGGATCATCAAGTGATGGTTTCTCCTACAGGAGATGTTGAGATGCTGCGGCCTAGTCCAAACCTGAGAGCACATTCATATCCAAAATGTCTGATGATCCATCAGAACGCAGCTGATGCCAAGTTCAGAACAAAAAGTTTTAAAGGCTCAACTCGTTTTCTATGTGCGTTAAAAAGGAAACTGTAAAATCCGACCCAGATATTTAGACTCCGTTTGTGAAGCTGGAGCAGGAGGAGAGCAGCAGAGCTGCTGGTTCCCAGGATGAACCATCGCTTCCATCTTCTCCACATTCACAGCCAGTTCACACCGGAAAAAGGTCACAAGGTCATCCTAGAAACTGTTTCCTGTGGGATTACGTAACGTCCTGGTTAAATAACTCAGAGCTTCTTTACTTTGTCACTGGACGATCATTTGATCCAGAGGTTCTGTTCAGAGATTCTTGTCCAAAAACAGACAACTTCAATCGGGTCAGAACTTAAAGCAGCAAATTTGGGGTTTTAATCCAGGTTTTAAAGTCTGTAATCTACTAACTGGCTGGATTAACCTGGATTATAGATAAATCTGAGTGTCATCAGCAGAACATTTCTCCTGTGCTGTCTGGTGGTTTCACCAACTGGAAGCAGAACCACAGTGAAGTGGATCGGGCCAAGTCCAGAACCCTGTGGGACTCCACCAGCCCTGGCGCCGGAGGATGTGTCGGAACAAACTGGGATCACTGGGATGAAACCAGTCTGCTGCCGATCCCTCCATAGCAACTTGTTCAAAACGCTCTGAGAGAACGCTGTGATCATCTGGATCAGACCCAGAACCAACAGAACCTCTTCTATCATCTCATTTCTGCTTCTCTTCCAAGTTTCTCAGGGCTTTTATTTTGAAAAATGAAACACTTCAACCTACTCAGAGCCATATTTCCTCTCTTGTAACTCCACCCACTCAGGTCAAAGGTCAAATGATGTTCCAGCTGTTCAGCATCACTTGGTGAAGCAGAGCTCCAAAGGACCCATTGTCCCCGTATCCAAGGTAACCAAGTTGACCAAGGTAACCAAGGTGACCAAGGTAACCAAGGTAACCAAGGTGACCAACGTAACCAAGGTAACCAAGGTGACCAAGGTAACCAAGGTAACCAAGGTGACCAACGTAACCAAGGTAACCAAGGTGACCAACGTAACCAAGGTAACCAAGGTGACCAAGGTAACCAAGGTGACCAACGTAACCAAGGTAACCAAGGTGACCAAGGTGACCAAGGTGAACAGGTGGCACATTCTTCAGTTGAGCTGCCACCTGCTGGGGTCAGGGGGAGGAGCCTAACGTTGACTCTGACCCTCTATAGGTCATAGGTCATTCAGCATCATTTCATCTCTTTAGTTGTTTAATAGGGATGAGTGTTAGCATGCTACATGCTAACGGGCTAGTGGCGTGGGAACAGAACTGGGTCAGAACCGGGCCCAATACAAGGACGTCAAGAGACCCGGTGGGAACAGAACCGGGTGAAAGACGACAACAAAAGCTGTGGAATGTTTGTGGCTGAAACAGGAACCAGCAGCTGATCCTGGTTAATCCAGGTGGGATTAGGGGCGGGGCATCTGGGGGCGGGGACAGG